CATGATTGTATTATTTTTCTCCATAGGGCTCAGCTGCACAACCAAAACAGTAATGTGTCAGTGAGCCAGCATTGGGAGTTTGCTGGGGGTATCGTTGAAGAGCTGGATTAAGAAAAACTGGAAGGATCAAGGTTCAGAGTCTCCATGACGTAGAAGCCAAGTATAATGCGAGGAGCAGGAGTGGGGCAGTAGGATGATGAAGTCAGAAAGGAATTTGTGGGATGTCTGCCGTTCTGGACACAAAGTGCAGAGCGTGACCAGAGGAAGGAATCAGTGAAGTGAAGAGGTTGAGTTTGGCATTGGAGAGATGTCACAATCACAGGCTACCATCTGCATTCCTTTCCTGGACTTAAAACATTGGATTCTGTCTTTCCTCTCGTACTAACAGGGTGTCTTGTAGAGCAGTTGGTATTGATAGTGTTTCCATTATTTTATTTTATTTTTTTTTTTAGTTTTTACAAATTTAATCATTTGACAAGTAATGGCTGGGTGCCTACTGTGAGCAGTGAACTGTGCTGGACCCTTGGCCATAAAGCTGTGTTCTAGTGGGAGAGTTGGGAAATGAACACAATTATCTGACTGTATTTAATTACAGTTGAAATGAGTGGGTGAAAGTTTCTAGTTTCTTCTCAAAAAAATTATCTCAAAAATTATGACATTGTTTTGCTGCAGTACCAAAAACTACCCAAAGCTCTGGCATCATTTTTAAAAAATATATTTTATTGATTTTTTACAGAGAGGAAGGGAGAGGGATAGAGAGTTAGAAACATCAATGAGAGAGAAACATTGATCAGCTGCCTCCTGCACACCCCCCACTGGGGACATGCCCGCAACCAAGGTACATGCCTTTGACCGGAATCGAACTCAGGACCCTTCAGTCCGCAGGCCGACGCTCTATCCACAGAGCCAAACTGGTCAGGGCAGCTCTGGCACCATTTTATTAAGCAATTTATTTATTATAGTTAACATACAATAATATATTAGTTTTAGGTATACAGCATAGTGGTTAGACATTTATATCATTTAATACTGAGGTTGATACCCTGATAAGTCCAGTACCCACTTAATGCCATATATTATTGCAATATTATTAACTATACTAGGGGCCCAGTGCACAAAAATTTGTGCACTTGGGGGGGTCCCTCAGCCCGACCTGTGCCATCTTGCAGTCTGGGACCCCTCGGAGAGGTCCACCTGCTGGCTTAGGCCCACTCCCCAGGGGATCGGGCCTAAGCTGGCAGTCAGACATCCCTCTGGCAGCCCGGGAGCACTCGGGGGCTGTCCACTTGCCAGCGGGGAGCAGGCCTAAGCTGCAGTCGGACATCCTTAGCACTGCTGAGGAGGCGGGAGAGGCTCCTGCCATCACCGCTGTGCTGGCAGCCCTCAGCCTGGCTTGTGGCTGAGCATAGCTACCCCTGTGGGAGCGCACTGACCACCAGGGGTCAGCTCCTGCATTGAGCATCTGCCCCCTGGTGGTCAGTGTGTGTCATAGTGACCAGTCATTCCCAGTCATTCTGCTGTTAGGGTCAATTTGCATATTACCCTTTTATTATATAGGATTATTATATAGGATAGAGGCCTGGTGCACAGGTGGGGGCTGGCTGGTTTGCCCTGAAGGGTGTCCCGGATCAGGCTGGAGGTCCCGCTGGGGTGCCTGGCCTGCCTGGGTGAGGAGCTGAGGGCCGTTTTCAGGCTGGCCACGGCCACAGGCTGAAAGCAGGTATCTGGGATTTATTTTATCTTCTATAATTGAAACTTTGTAGTTTTGAGCTGAGCAGCAGGGCAGGCGGGAAGCTTGGCTTCCTCCATTGCCGGGGGCAACCCAAGCCTCCTGCTCGCTCCAGCTCTGTGGCCGCCGCCATCTTAGTTGGGTTAATTTGCATATTCACTCCTGATTGGCTGGTGGGCATGGCTTGTGGGTGTGGCGGGGGTATGGGCAATTTGCATGTTTCTCTCTTATTAGATTAGATTCCCTATGCTGTACTTTACATTCGATGACTTCATTATAACTGTCAATCTGTACTTCTTATTTCCTTCACCTTTTTCACTCAGTACCCCAACCGCCCTCCCATCTGGCAAGCATTAGTTTCTTTTCTATACCTGTGAGTTTGTTTGGTCTTTTAGGTTCCACATATTAGTGAAATCATGATATTTATCTTTTTCTGACTGGTTTATTTCACAGCATAATACCCTCCAGGCCCATCCATGTTGTCACAAATGGTAAGATTTCATTCTTCTCATTCCATTGTATATATGTACCATATCTTCTTTCTTTTTTTCTTTTAACATGTTTTTATTGATATCAGAGAGAAGAAGGGAGCCTGCAACCCGGACATGTGCCCTGACCAGGAATTGAACCAGCAACCTCGTTCCTGCCTGGTGCATGGAATGGTGCTCAACCAACTGAGCCACACTGGCTGGGCAAGTACCACATCTTCTTTATCCAATTGTCTATTGATGACCAGTTATGCTTCCATATCTTGGCTATTGTAAATAAGGCTGCATATATCTTTTTGAATTAGTGTTTTGGATTTCTTTGGATAGAAATACTCAGGAGCGGGATTGCAGGGTCATATGATAATTCTATTTTTAATTTTTTTTAGGAAACTCCATACTGTTTACCAATTTGCAATCCCACCAACAGTTCATGAGGGTTCCCTTTTCTTTCTCCACATCCTCCACAACACTTACTTGTTGCTTTATTGATGATAACCATTCTGACAGGTGTGACATCTCATTGTGGATTTAATTTGCATTTGTATTAGCCATCTGTTGTCCTCTTTGGAGAAGTGTCTATTCAGGTCCTCCGCCCTGAAAAAATCCAATTTTTTAATTGGATTTTTGGGGGTTGGTGTTGAATTGTATGAGTTCTTTATAAATTTTGGATATTAACTTCTTATCAGGTGTATCATTGGTGAATATGTTCTCCAGTTAAGTAGGTTATATTTTTGTTTTACAGTTTCCTTTGCTGAGAGCGATGTCAGAGTTTTATGGTTTCAGGTCTTACTAGTTTTTAATTGGTCTATTTCATTCTTATAACCAGTGTTTTGAACTGTACGTCTAATAGATTGTTTGTCTCCATTTTGTTTCTTTTTCTGGAGTTTTTGTCCTGGCCTTTCATTTTGGAACATGTTCCTTTGTCTCCTTTTGTGTGACTCCCTATTTATTTCTGTTTTAGGTAGACCTGCTATACCTCCAGGGCTTGGCAGAGTGGCCTTATGTGGTAGGTGTCTTGTGGGGCCCAGTGGCACAGTCTTTCTAATCACCCAAACTGTGCCCATCCCTCGCCCCCTATGTTGGTTGTGTATACCCTCCTGTTATGGTTGAGCCGTGATTGCTGTTGACACATCAGTGGGTGGGATTGACCCTCAGGCTGACCGGCTATGAGGGCTGGCCATGACCACCTCGGATGAGCGGAAGTTGCTTTAGTGGGGTTGTAGTGCCAGCCAAGTCTGCCCTCTGGATATGTGGTTTGTGGAGCTGGTTGGGGAGGGGGTGCTCTGGTCTGGTCTGAAGCCTCTTTAGAGGGGCTACAGGGCAGATCAAGGTCAGCCATCACTTGTGCCCATCTTAAGGTTGTCTGGTAGGTGCTTGTGCTGCACTTGGTGCCTAATCAGTGAACCAAGGCTGGCTGCCACTAGTATCAGGCTTGGGACCGTGTGGTGGGCACCACAATGTGAGCTGAGGCTACCTGCCATTTGTGCCAGCTTTGTGGCCACTTAATTGAGGCTACATGCCCAGCCAAGACTGGCCACTGCTTATGCTGGGTGTGGGGCTACTTGATGGGACTTAAAATGTAAGTTGAAACCAGTCACCACTTATGTCAGGCTTGGAGTATCTTGGCAAGAGGTACATGGCACACCAAGGCCAGATGGTGCTGGCATTAGTGTTAGCCAGGCTAACGGAGAGCTCAGATTTGGCACCTGGGCTGGCTAGGTGGGTGTGGTTCAACAAAAAAAACAATAGTGCCTACCACCACTTTCATCTCTTGCCCTGAAGCTAGTCAATTTAGTCCCCTATGTCCCTGACACGATGCTACCACCTCTGCACAGGAGCCTAGAGCAAGTGAGTCTGTATGTGGGCCCTTTAAGACCTGCAGTGCCTGGGTCTCCAGTAGCCCTCCATCTCACTGGGACATAAGCCCCCTGGTTTTCACAGCCAGTTGTTATGGGGACTCCCCTTCCCGTTATGAGAACCAAGGGCTGGGCAGAGCAGTGTGGGACTGGGACACGCTTGCTCCTCTGGGGGAGCCCTGCAGCCAAGATCTCTCTCCTCCCACCAGCCTCAAGGTGGCTGCTTTTTTTTTCTTTCTTTTTTAAAATATATTTTATTAATTTTTTACAGAGAGGAAGGGAGAAGGATAGAGAGTTAGAAACATCAATCAGCTGCCTCCTGCACACCCCCTACTGGGGATGTGCCCACAACCAAGGTACATGCCCTTGACTGGAATCAAACCTAGGACCCTTCAGTCTGCAGGCCGACGTTCTATCCACTGAGCCAAACCGTTTAGGGCATGGCTGCTTCTTTATATCCTTAGTTATGGGACTCCTGGTCAGCTAGTCTTTAGGTGGTTTTATAATTTAGGTTGCAATTTTGATATGGTGAGGACAGCGTTTACCTGACCCACTATCTTGACCAAAGTCCTCTGGCACCATGGTTTTTACAAAGTTAACAGGTTCCTCCTGGAGTCAGGAGTCATATTCCCTTTCTTTCCCACCCAAAGCATCCAACCCTGCTTCTGCCTCCAAGGCTGTCGGCTGCAGGCAGAGGCCAGACTTACAGGGATGTTTTCTTTAGTTCAGGATTGGCGGAGGTGTTGGTTCCTTTCACGCCCCGGCCAGGCCCCGCCCAGCTGAATTGTAGGATGTTTTAGAGTGGAGTTCATTTTGAGTGTCTCCAGTAAGATTGTGATTTTCTCCTCCTTTCTTTTCCTACCTTTACCCATATAAGTTTTTTTCCTCAAACTTGGGATAGTAAAGGAGCTTAAATATTATGAGAACTCGGCTTGAAAGGTGAATTTTATTTTATCATTTAAAAAATTACATAAGTCAAATGCAAAAACATATAATACATCTATAATTAAAGAACCCTTTTCCATGAAGGCAAAATTATTGAGAAATGTTTATTTTCCTCCTTGAAATGGCTTGTCCAGGTAAGATCTGGCTGCAGGTAGTTAATTCACGTCACTTTCTGCATTGCTTCCCTCCCTCCAGCCCACACCACTGCGCTGCTGGCCCTGGACACAGAATGCGTGTAGGCCTTAGAGATCCAGGGCCCAGTGGACAGACAGGCTCTTGTCTTCCACGTTGGCAACCATGTCTTCGATGGCATTCCAGTCGAGCTTGCTGAGGATGCTGCCAGTGCTCTCAGACACACTGTCCATGCCACCCTCTCCAGTAGGGGACACTGGCTCTTCTTCAGTTGGTGACAAGTCCTATCAAATTGAGATAGATAGTAAGTGGTAGTCCTAGCCTGAGGAAAATACACAGAATGTGAACCATGTCTTCAGCTGCTCATCCACCAGATGGAGAGGGAAGTGTGGTGGGAGACAGGGCTGTGGCTGCCCTGCATGTCTGGACTAGCGATGGGCTGACCAGGACAGAATGGGTGTTTATACCTCAGTAAATTATCTGTTCTTACATTTTGGTGATCTTTTAGTTGAAAAGAAAATACAAAGTCAAGGAAAATTCTAAAAGATAAACCACATTAGTTGCTTTGAATCACCATTTCAAACTGTCCTCACAATCCTTCTATATCTCTACATCCCACAGAAAAATACCGCCCCCCCCAAAAAAAAAAAAATCCACACACAACAAAAACCTGCTGTACAGAGAGGAAGCACTAGGCAACCTGAGCTCCGGCCGATGCCTACCTGTGGAAGGGAACTGTGACTTCCATGAAGAATCCTGCGGATGTCTGAGGGCACCAGCCAGGGACTCACCACAGTCTCCTCTCTCTCGTCCTCTGCACACACCTGCTCGGTGTGAGGGCCAAGCCCAGCACTCCCGTGCTGTTTTGAATGCTGTAGACAGGGAGCAGTAGAGCCTAACAAGGGAAAAGAACAAAGCATACATTGGGACTAGTTCATTTATTGTGATGTTTATCATCAAATCCACGGCAGTCACATTTTACCTACTATTTGAACCACAGGGTTTGGTTATAGTTCGCTTTAGAGTTCTAACAATTCCTGTCCTGCAGAAGGAACTTTAATTCTGGCCACCTGTTTCGATTTTAAAAGTAACAGTAACCTCTAAGACGAGAGAGTAGGAGAAGGGGCCACAGAACAGAGCTGTGGAGGAGTTGCCTCCACAGGGAGGGCTTGTGGATACTTTCTAGGAGTGATGTTAGGCTTCATGCCTACAGTCTGCCTTCGGCACAGGCGTCAGTGTAAGTGCAGTGACCACAGGGTGGCCCTCTGCCTCCCTACTGAACGTAAGTACTTTGTAGAAAAGAAACTCCCCCCAGCCAGTGCCAGAGGCCGAGGAGCAAATCCACCCACCCACGGAGCTCTCTGCACGAGGCCTGGCGGAGCTCGCCCCAACACACTTACGTTCCACAGCCCCTCGCCAACATGACCTAAGGAACACCCATGACGTGGGACCTGTTTACTTCCCATCATACCTGACAAGCAGGCACGTGACTTCCCAAAGAGGAGAAGAGGTAACAGAGTGAAGTTTGGCCTTTTACAGCTTTACCAACCTCATACACTTAAAGGTAAGGATACCTCCAAAATATAAGACCCCATTTTGGATTTACTATGGGCTAAATGCTTTACCTACACTCAGTCCCTTGAACTTATGTGTGTTTCCCTGGTCCTGACTGTCTACCAGGTTTTTATAGAACTGTGAAGAGTAACATGGGGTGAGGATGGGCTAGAGCAGCGGTCGCCAACTAGTGGTCTGTGAGGTCTGGAAGGTTGGCGACTGCTGGTTTCAGGAAACTTTTGGAGCAGCAGTTGCCAACCGGTGGTCCATGGACCAATGGTGGTCCATGAGGTCTGAAAGGTTGGCAACCGCTGGGCTAGAGGGAGACAATAGGAATCCTATATAATAAAAGCCTAATATGCTAAGTGTCTGGTCGTCCATTCAACCAATCGAGTAATATGCTAAGGCAGATGCTCCGACAAGTAGGTGAGCTTGCTGCTGGGGTCCAGCCAATCAAGATGGGCCAGACACACCCTGGAGCCCTCCCGCAGTCCCTCCCCAGCTGGCCAACCTCCTGCGTCCCTCTCCAGCCCTGATCGTGCACCGGTGGGGTCCCTCAGCCTGGCCTGCATCCTCTCGCAATCTGGGACCCCTCGGGGGATGTTGGAGAGCCGGTTTCGGCCTGATCCTGCAGGCCAGGCTGAGGGACCCCACTGTTGCATGAATTCATGCACTGGGCCTCTAGTTAAGATCATAATTTCCCTCTCTCATTGACCAGAGCACAGCTAACTTGAGCAAGTATCCAAAGATGGAGCAGAATTGGGCCTGCGTTCCATGACTATGTGACCCTAGCACCTTGCTGAGCACTGTGGTGAGCCCCTCACATATGCTCGCACTGTTATAATCCACATTTTGCAGGTGAGAAAATGGAAGTTCACACAAATGTCCTGGAACCGCCCCGGGCTAAAGAGTAAGTGATGACCTAGGATTCCAAGCTAACTCCACAGCCTCTTCTCATTCTGAGCCCCATTTTTCATTCTGGAACCTATATTTGAAATTTCTAAGAGTGATTTACGGCTTTTAAAGGTTTAATATTAACTTCAAGAACCTCTTACCTTTTCGGAAGGTGACTGGAGAGTGCACAGCCTTTCTCCGCGCTCCTCTGGCTCCACCAGCTTTTTTCTGGGTAAAAGTGATAGTTCCTGCAAAGACAGGCAAGCGTCTTCACCCTGGTGTGTGTGCGTGATTATTCACGTATCCTACTGTAAGACCTTCGAGGGCAGAAGCCTCTGAGGGGTGGATTTTATTCAAAACCAAGGAAGCAGAACAAAAGTGCAGATGAAGGAAGGCAGACTCCGAGTTGTGGTTTCCTTACAGCACAGCCATGGTGCTTTCCAAAGGCACCTGTCCTGGGACAACATCTCGCGGACTGAGGTCAGGCACTAAGTCCACGAGCTGTGAACACCCAACAGATGCCATGGTAAACTGTATCAAGAGAATGACTAACTATGGTTTCTTAAATTCCAGAATTAATAGCAACTATTCAATGTTTGTTATGCAAAATGTTTTACTTATCATCCTCAATAACTCTATGAGGTATGTTTTAAATAACATCTGAGGGCACCAAGTAAGCTATACACATTTATACTATCTGTTAGCTCTAAGTATGTTTTACTTTAGTAATCAAAACTCAACTATGGCAAAAACTAAAGGAAGGCTAGCAATAAATAACATCTTTAAATGTGGGAAAGGATGTTCAAAGGGTAAAAACAGAGCTGCTTAATATTCCTCTTCTGTTTTATATCCATCCTGAAATCTACCAGAATGGTTTTTTGTCAATTACAGTTGACATTCAACATTATTTTATATTAGTTTCAGATCATTTGTATAATTTATGAAGTGATTCCCCCCAATAGGCCTAATATCCACTGGACACCATACATAATTATTACAATATTATTGACTATATTCCCTATGCTGTACTTTACATCCCTGCAGAACTTGATTTGGAAAAATCAAGTTCTTTAACCAAACACAAAAGAAACAGAGTCCCAAGTCAATCATATCTAATTTGCTGACTGTTCAAATGCTATTACAAAAAGGTCATTTGTTTTAAAAGATTCCTAGGGTTTTCTTATTTCCCAGTACAATGTCTTACATTCTGCTGAAATGAGAATTGCTTTTCACTAAGACTTACAGCTGTTACTAATGAAAATGTAACTTTGGAGACAAGAAGGAATAGGCCCAAATTATACAAGATAAAAAAGCTTTGTCTTACCATGTGGCCAAGGTGAGCCCTGAGGTTGCCCAAAAGATTTCCCTTTTGGGATATAACTTGGTTTGGATATATTTCTGACTTTTCCAGGTCGATTTACTGGAAAGTTGTGACCATATCGGGTCTCTCTAAAGTAGAAATTACATTATTATTATTATTATATTCCTAGAATCTCGTATCAGTGATAAAACTGTATTTCAAAAAGCCCAGATTCTGCCTCAGATGAATACACTCACTTATTCTGTACCTCAGTGACATATTTAGTATGTAATAACTCTCAAGTTATTCTTCATATCTCAAACTTCATGTGTATTTTTCAAAGAAACTATTTTTGTTCTCCATCTATTTCAAATTATATATGTACTGCCCTGGCCGGGTGACTCAGTTGGTTAGAGCCTCATCCTGTACACCAAAAGGTAGCAGGTTCAATGCCCAGTCAGGGGGCGTGAAGGATGCAACTGATCAATGTTTCTCTCTCTCCCCCTCAAATCAATTTTAAAAATTCTCTAGTTATTGTGTATTTAAGACCCTACTTTGTTCTAGAAAAGATTCAAAGGACATCTGGGCCCGGCCATTGTGGCTCAGTGGTTGAGCGTCGACCTATGAACCAGGAGGTCCCAGTTGAATTTCCGGTCTCCATCCCGTACAGAAGGCAACCGATCAGTGATTCTCTCTCATCATTGATGTTTTTCTCTCTCTCCCTTCCTCTATGAAATCAATAAAAATATATTTCAAAAAAGCAACACAAAAGAAAACAAAGGGCATCTGGTATTTTGAGTGCACCCTAGTGACCAGACTGCATCTAGGTTTGTGTTGGGCACATCTCCTCTAGCCTCTTAAGTTACGTGATTATAATCTTTATTTTGTCAAAAGGTAGTCATATTTAACAACACTGTATTGCCAATTGTTGTTCATCATATAAATCACCAAGTATAGTTTTGTGTTTGTTTGCCATGTGCAAGAACCTACACTTGAGTACTTTTCTTTAGCTTTAGCATTCCCTGTTTAATTCCTGCCTAACGAACTCATGTCCAAACCTACTGCAGGTCATTAACTTAGGAAGAATTATGTAACTATCTACAAGTGAATCAGCAACCCCGGGACAGGCAGGAGGAGGTGGCAGAGGGAGGAGTGGCAAGCTGGTGGGACTGTTTCTGCAAGAGTGGAGCCTAGTGGAGAGCAATTAGGACGCAAGTTACAGGAGGAAATATTAACAAAAACGACAGGGAAGAAGAAGGGATTGAACGGACATCAAAATTGCATTAGGTAAGGTGTCTTAGAGATTTAATGCCACTGTCTTCTTCCTTGGTAATTGTATGCACTTATAAAGAAATCATAATTCTGAGCAGGGTAGATGCAAATACAGTGAACCTGGGTCACAAAAGCACTTCATTTCTTAGCACGCCTGACATTGTCTTGCCAAAGGACATAAACCTTATCTTACCTTCTTGGAGAAAGGGAGCTTTGCAGCCTGCAAGTGTGAACAGTCCTGGGCTTGCTGGGCGATGGCTTCTGTGCTGGTACCTGTACCGACTCAGACAGCAGTTCATTCATCAGACTGTACGCTTGTGAAATTCGACGACTGTAGTGGTCACAGAGTAGCAATCTTTAGAGAAAGAATTAAACAACATTTAATAAGTCACTTTCAGTTCATATTTCTAGAAGGAACACAGTGTTTGAAGACCACTTAGCATGTGTTTTTTTCAATGCTTTTCAAATGCACTTCAAATATAATATTCAAGTTCATATGTCTGAAGACCATTACACAGTATTAAAGGTGCCTATAGCTGTGGCCTTTGAGGTAGTTTCAAAATGCATCCACATTATCTGAATTGGGAGAGGGGAATCCAGAAATAAAACTCATAAAAATTGGAGGAAATAATATTTGAAAACAAATTCCTAACGAGGCTAGTGGAGTCTAATTATTTTCCTTGCAGCACATCCCATAGTTGACAAAAAAGGGACTACTGTGGAAACCGGAATTCCTTAGGCTTTTTTTTTTTTTTTTTTAGGGGAGAGTGCGAATGTAATTCCCCACTACCACAAATTATGCAGTCGAGTTTCCCACATTTGGGGAAATCGCAGGGGTCAGCACATCCGGAGTGCAATGGACAAGCCTCACCCCGGGAAAACCACCTTCATGATCATGGTCTCTCCCGCACCAGGTCAGTATCCACAGGCATTTTCTATGCCTCAGGTGAACAAGCCAGAGAGAGGGTACTACCGCTCACCTGTCCTTTTCATGCTTCATCTTTTGACTCAGCCTGATTTCCCTTGAAGTCATGTAAAACTGTATAAGAAATAATCCAGTTAGCTCACTATTGTACAGTACAAACAATTAAACCATTATGATCCATGGAAAACATGAAAATTCCACTAATCAATTTTAACAGGAGGTTAAAACATAATTTTATTATTTAGGAAATAGTGCAAAATACTGTCAAATTTCATGAAGCTTCTGACCCCAGCACAAAACATGAAAATGTTAAAGCATCATGTGATTAAATAAAATCCAATTTAATGAGTGGAATGCAAAATCTATTTTAGTAGCTAAATTAATATGTTTTCTAGAAAAGAGATCCTTAACAGCTGCATTTAAAAGGGAAAATAAGAACCTATTAAGGATGGAGACACCTCTACTTCGTACTCTATCTGGTGATTAATCTCACCAACAGCTTGGTTGATAAAGCAGAAATGAACCAAACTTCTGAAACCATCATTTTGATGTTTCAAAATGTTCACCAGAAAGTTATTGCAGTGAATTCATTGTGACTGTAAACTCTTCAAAACTTAGGCACCAAGAGGCAAACTAGCAAACATCGCTATATACATCTTAATGTTCGGTAGTAAGAGTTATGTTGAGTTGCTGATAAGGTTAAGTCTTTTCATACAAATTTTATGTATAAAAAGGTGCGCACAGAAGTGAATTCACTTTCTCAAGATCCTATATATAATAGTAACAAATTATGATGTTTTTAATTACATTAACCCCTCACTATTCCCATACCTTTACCCAAATAGAAGCTACGAATAAATGAGGTCCGAGATCTTGAAGGACACGTCACAAAGTTTATAAACCAGAGTCTATTTATTCTTAATTTGGACCCAACTCTGACCCTCTTGGGTATTTGTTTGGCTGGCAGGGAGGGTGATATCAGACCCCCCGACCCCTGACCCATGGGGTGGAGAAAACACACACATATCCACGTGCACTTTCAGATTCTGGTTATGTACCTCAGCAGCCCTGAAGGTCATCCCCATGTTCTCAGAGCTACTGACAAAATGTTACATCGGCATCAGCATGCTCTCTGCAGACACAGGTAAGTAAACTACCTTTACGCTGCGAAATAAACACTTTAAATACTAGTTCACCTACTTCTGCACCATTTGGTGCTTAAATGTGATGATCTTATCTGGAAAATTCACTTATGGAATGATGCTAAAAAGAATGAAGTACTTATTTTATTTTATTTCATGTTAGAAAGTAAAAGATGAACTGTAATCGAGATGAACCTGACTGGGACGTTCCCAGCACTGGGATGACTGAGAACACTGCTGTGTCACCTTTAGAAGCACCTCCGACCCAGCCAGGAAATGCCACAGCAGGCTCAGTGAGCACAGTGACAGTCTGAGGGACAGGTGGCACACAGTGCCCTTGTTCTGTCGGTACATGACCGGACCATACTTTTTAAAGTGTTCTGTAGGGAAGGTACGGATAGAAACAGATTTTAAATGGCCCCCCGACACACACACGTATTCAGCTGCAACAGACTCAGTGAAAATAGGGGAACTACTCCAACCGTCACAGGAGTAGTTCAAGCTCCTCAAGCTCCTCATTTGTGTAAAATGGTAGAGCCATAGTTAGCCTGCGGGAGAAAAAGTACTTAAGATGATAATTCAATGGAACATGGGTTGTGCAATACTCTGCTACCTTTTGTTAAAGTCATTTCCTAACTTAAGTAAAATGCTGACTTTTCTGTCAAATTAAAAATGCATTTAAATTTTGTTCATCCTTTTCTTAAATTTAGCCAGGAAAAAACCACAGGCATCCTGTGACGTCCCCTTGTCCCTGACCCTGCAGACTCACCGCGTTGCTCCTGGGGCAGAAGGGGTCATGCTCCTGCCCCCTCCTCTCCGCCAGCTCGTGTAAGTACTCCGCCATCCTCTCTCTCCGCTTTCTTCTCATCCAGACTTGAATCTCTCTTCTCTCCTTGGCAGTTCTTCCAGGTCGGCTACCGGAAGATTGCTGAATCCTGAGGAATGTAACAGGCAGAGTATTGCTTGACTTTAAATGTGTGATGGACATAAGCAGTACCACAACTACATACTGTTTATTTGTTAAGATTCTGTCCCATCTCAAAAAGCAGTATAGTTACAACCCCTGGTCAACTTGCTGAACCTGTCCCCTGAAATCCCTGGAAATGACCTTGGAAAGGTCACCAGTGGCCTCTCCAGTCTTTATCCCACTGGACTTCTCTTTAACAGTTGATACAATTTGGCTTTTCATTTCTGCTTTGAACTCTCTCTTCCCTGATCCTTTCTAACTCAAAACTCTATGCAGCAACTTACACTGGCCCCTTCTTCTGTGCTCACCACTCAATACTAATGTCTTCCAAGGGGCTGCTTTGGACTTCTTAGTCTGTAATCTGTTTCTGGATTATCTCAATCATTTCCAAAACCTTCCTACAGGCATAACTCCTGCACGGCTGCCCGCTGGATCCAGCCTCCCGAGGGCGACCTCTCTTCCTTCCCTCCAAGCCACAGGAGGGGCCAGCACTGTACTGTGCTCCGATGCCTCTCCAACTTCCGGTTTCCCCCTCACATGCATTTCTCCCAGGAAACCTCGTGGACAGCTAGTCCCACGAGGCTTCTGCTTCTCAGAGGATGAGAACTGACTCTAGTAGTACTGAGAGTCCAAGAAAGCAAACTCGGCACCCAGGGTGCAAAGAGGGCACCACCCTAGGAAGGTGGGTCACGGATATAAACGATGTGTTTTACATGAATGCATGCTGTCCTCCTGGGAGTCTGGGCTCGGTATGCACATTTGCTTAGCAAGACAGAAAATGAATGCAGTTCTAGGTGTAAGGTGCCAGGAGAACATTCAGTTGGTAATGTTCATCGGTACTTAGTTTTAGGTCCTCCCAGAAGCAGATGCCAAAATGTTTATGGTTCAAGAATATTCAAAATTAGCCATATTTCATTGAAACGTCTTCAAAGATTTTTTTCTTTATCATGAAACATTTTCTGATGTTTACGTATCGCTCCTCCCCTCCCCAGTAAAACCTGTGGGCACTGGGTCTCTGGACAGGCCTCCCCGGGACACAGCAGTTCATACATGTTGTCACAAGCTACCGCTGGAGGCAGTGTGTCCTGTGTGCGGGAGCCTGTGCCTGGTTTCCCCTGGAATTTCTCCATGTACCTATTCCCTTTGCTGATTTGGCTTAGTATCCTTTTGCTGCAGTGAGTATAGCTGTGCGCGTAACTGGTTGAATTCCGAGTCCTCCCGGTGAGTCACTGAACCTGGGCTGATCCTGGTGACCCTTTCACCGGGGTCGGAGCCGACCGGCACTGAAGTCTGACCGCTCTCTCCACCTCCCATAGTCCCTCACAGGGGTTCCTCCAAATAAATCTCTTATCATCTAAATCTCATTTTGGCATCTGCTTCTGGGAGGACCTAAAACTAAGTACCGATGAACATTACCAACTGAATGTTCTCCTGGCACCTTCTACCCAACACCACAGAAATCATCCTCAACTCTGTCATCCACGTAGAGAGTCATTCTCACTTCCTCCTGACAGTCGCCAGGTTTACTCGCGCTTGGGGCCCTGCACTTCCCATCTGAGCCATCTCACTACTAAGTAAGACCTCTGATTGGCTCCCATTTCTGGTTTAAAGCCCTTTGCTGACCACCCCCTACTGCTTGCAGATGGGCTAACTAGGAGAAATAGGATTAAATGTGTGTTGTACTCAGTGCTGAGGGTTTGGGAAAATGCATATGATGCAGATGTACCCTGTAAGTGAAAGTAACCAGTCTGTGTTCTGGGGAGGGGAGGAGCAAAACAAACATCACAAAATGTGTTCATGATAAAGAAAAGACCTATTGTAAGCGTTGAATTTGTTTCAGGAAAATGTGGCTAATTCTGAATATTCTTGAACCATAAACATTTTAAATGGTTAGAAATTAATTATTAACAGAAGTATTCAGGGTTACCTAGAGATGCTCCTGGCTTGTTGTTCTGTTAAGCCCAGCTCTTTGCTGGAAACTCCATCTTTGGTGATAAGGTCATCAATAATGTCTGCAATGTCAGTCAGCCCAGTCATCTGGAGTGGATCTGCTGAAACGCTTCATTTGCAAATGCAATTTGAGAAAAGTAGGTCAGTATCTACCACTTACTACAGCAATAAGAACATGTAAAACTATGCCCTCTGAGAGCATAAATGAACACAAAAATGATAAACATAAATACTGTTCCTTGGAATACTATGCTGCTGTAAAAAAGAAGGAACTCTTACCATTTGCAACGGCATGGATGGAACTGGAGAGCATTATGCTAAGTGAAATAAGCCAGTCAATGAAGGAAAAATACCACATGATCTCACACATTCATGGATAATAGAGACCATTATAAACTTTTGAACAATAATAGATACAGAGGCAGAGCTGCCTCAAACAGATTGTCAAACTGCAGCGGGAAGGCCGGGGAGGGTTGGGGGGCAGGAGGGAGGGGGGTAAGAGATCAACCGAAGGACTTGTATGCATGCATATAAGCATAACCAATGGACATAAGACACTGGGGGGTAGGGGAGGCCAGGGGATTGTCAAGGGCGGGGGGAAAAAAGGACACATATGTAATACCCTTTGTAATACTTTAAGCAATAAAAAAAAAAGAATACTGTTCCTTGTATTCTTTAATCCAGTAATCCTCAGTGGAAAAGCCTGATCATCAAGAATTGATCAATATGTGCTCTTACAAAAGCAACATGAGGCCCAGGAGACAAGTTCTCCCTGTCCTGCCTGAAGAAACTTAATACATATACAATAGAAGAAAATGTAGCCAATGCAGCTTATGGTATCCTTACTGTCTGTGCTAACACAGTGAGGGGTGTGACAGTCCTCAGATTTTTTAAAACATCTCATTCCCAACGGGAATTAATTATGTTCCTTTAATCCACAAAAAAATGTAGTATAGATGTTCACATACATATGAACAACGCAATTGCCAGAAAGTATATACCCAACTTTAAGTAAAATTGTAGATTAATTCTTAAGATATTTACCTCTCAAATAACTCATCATGGTTATTCACACCTTAAAAAAAAAGACATTATTTCAAAAATTTTTCAGGTCAGTTAATTTTCTACTTTCAATTATTAACCTGACTTAGGAATTATATAAACAGAAATTAAAATATTTTTAAACCTCCAAATTGGTTTAAAGCAGCGGTTCTCAACCTGTGGGTCGCGACCCCTTTGGGGATTGAATGACCCTTTCACAGGGGTCGCCTAAATACATCCTGCATATCAGATATTTACATTACGATTCATAACAGCAGCAAAATTACAGTTATGAAGTAGCAACGAAAATAATTTTATGGTGGGGGTCACCACAACATAAGGAACTGTATTAAAGGGTCACGGCATTAGGAAGGCTGAGAACCACTGGTTTAAAGGTATATGTGTGTATTTATCCTCCTCTTGAATACGCTATTCGGTAGGAAATGTCCACATTTTTAGATTACTACTTCTGTGCCCAGAATACTCTGAATAATACACTTTAGGAAGTACAATCTTTCTTTGCTTAGTACAGTTTAGAATACTGGAGTGCAATTTATTAAAACACTCTCAAAACACAAACCTGTATGGGAAAATATCTCATTTAAATCCAAGAAGCCTTTACCAAGAGAAAAAAATTACAAGATTTAATGACAGCTGGTCTATAGCCTTTCTTTTATTTAAATGACAGCAATGCCATTTAAAAATAGCAATTTTTGCTGCTTACATTATTTTAACAATGGTAATAAAATATACTGTAAACATTCAGTAAAATCATTGACCATCGATGTCTAGGTTTAAAAAGAACAGTTCAAATCCACTGTCAATGGTAAACCATTGCACTTAGTAGGACCTTTCATTCCCGTGCTAGAGGGATCTGTTAGGACTAAAGAAGATCATTTCATCCAGCTGCAAATGAAACAGAACGAAGGGGGCACTAAAGTTTTCTAAGTCTCAATGTCCTTAGCTGTGAAGTGCGGACATTGACGTTACCGGCCTCGCAGCCAGGTGGCCCGGGCGATAATTACAGCCACTATTTTGTTTTCAAATTAAAATGCAAGTTGCATAATTGGCAGTGTTTGAATTTCTCAATTTTTAAAAAAAAATCAAATATTTTAGTAATTCCAGTTGTAGATTTCACACTAATAAGCTACATAGAGATATAATGCTTGCTTGCAGTGTATCTTATGAAGGTAATAAGACAGAGTTCATGTGAATGGTGCAATTGTTTAACTTCCCTTCCCCCAAAATTTGTAAGTATTGTAAAATGGCTTCACAAATCCTTCCTAACTTTATTCCCAGTAAATACTACTCAGTAACAACAATATATTGTTACATCCTTCAGTATATTGGAAAATAAGAGTGTAAATTAATAAAGTGGAGAACAATACCAGGAAAACTCGTATTCTGGTCACTGGAGAGGCTGAGAGCTGAATCGGCAGAAGGAAACACACACGTTTTCGGACGAGAATGAGTTTCTGTTAGTGAAAATTCATCTTCAAAAGTCTGTTCTTTGTCACTTGGATCTTCCTTATTCATATGAGTCAGGAAATGCACTAATCCAGAGTCTATATTACAATTAAAATAGTAGAGGGAAAATCACATGTAAAAGACAATGCGCAGCAGACACTTCCACATGGCAACAGATACATCAGAAGTTTGCAACATATTCTGATAGCTTGTTACTGTTTAATGAAATATAAAATTTATATATAAATGATATATAAAATTTATACTCTCCAATAGCAAAAAAAAAAATCTGTTAAATTTCTTATCAACTTCAGAAAACATAGCAGACTGAGCTAAAGTGGACAGGTGCCTGCCCACCATAAAAACACAAAAGAAATGCTAACTTAAAAAAAAACGGATTAATACACAACAAAACCCTGTAAATAAAACAATCCCCTGGTGCCAGAAAAGGAATGGAATTCAAAGCTGGGAGTAACTGGACAGCGACACTGGCGGAGCCCACAGAGGACCCGGGAGGCTCTGCAGGCTGCGGGGGGAGGGGGACCAGGCCGCTTAGTGCAGCCTGGAGCCGGAGGACAGCAGCTCTGTCCTCAAGGTGGGTGTGGGGAAGCCTGCCCCGGACGAGCAGCCAAGACGTTTCTGCTGCCGGGAGAGTGGACGGAAGGAAGATGAAAGTCAGCTCTGAGAAAGCAAACCCCTGTCTTGCCACGAACAGGCGTGGGGTCTGAATTTACACCATCAATGTAGCACAGCAACTCCAAGCCAAGAGGTGTTCACAGAAATCCGTCCTAAAATTTTCTACTTCAGTGACAGCAAATGCAAACCACTCCCAGACAAGCATGCACACTCAGCAGAATCCCCCAAAGATGAGACATCACAAGTCGCACAGAGAAAGACACAGCCACGGAAGAGCCGTATGCAGACTCCACGACGGAGAACATGCCCGCATGAAAGGAAGCAATCTGAAAGGGCTTGTACACTACTAGCCAGGAAACAGATAGAAGAAGACACAGAAACCACAATGAAAGAAGAGACCAGTATATCCAAAGAGCAAATAGATTTGAAAAAGAAACAGAACTTCTAGACATAACAACGTAGGCACCAAAATTAAACGCCTACAGCAAAGATGCCATGGCAGAAGAGAGAACCTTAGGCTAAAAGGTGGGTCGGAGGGCACCAAGCACATCGCTGAGAGAGAAACGGTGGCAACTGAGAAGTGGCTAAGAGGGAACAGAATGAGAAGGTCTGACGTACCATAGAGAATAAGTAAAAAGAAATATGCACCTAGGAACAGTATCAAAAATGCCAGAAGAGGGGACAGCATCGGCTTCTCAGAGAAAAGGGGCTGCCGTGGGAGCCAATCACATTTCCACACCAGTGACCCCAATCTAGGAACTGGGGCTGATGGCTTCAGCTCAGTGAAAACCATCCGTATCTGACATTCCAAAGGCAATGCTTATTCTTTCAAAGCAAGGCTCTGGGCAACCCCCACCCCAGCCAGCTCCCCACAAACCTTCTTTGGAAATGGCAATGGGTTTTGAAGCCAGTGTTTTTTCAGATTCAGGGCCAGACGACAATTCAATGTCATCCACAGATTCAACCTGTAGAAAAACCACACCACAAAATAGCTGTTATAAATTTTATAGTGCGCTAATTTCAAAATATTGTAAATAATTTTATGTAGGTTTTAAGCATTTGCATTAATGCAACAAATGAAAGAAATGGGAAGTTTTACTTATTTGTGGTGTAACTGATTTAACTTTTTAAGAGGCTCGGGAAAATAGCATCATGTCATATAATTTAGACTAGGGAGCAATGTCAACTACCATCCAGACAAAACCTTTTACTCTAAAGATGAGAGACCAAGGCCCAGAGACATTCAGTGATGTTCTCAGAGGCAGACATGGACTTGAACCGGGTCTTCAAGGCTCCCAGTCAGTGCTGGGCCACAGTAGCCTCTGCCTCCTCCAGGCCTACAAGCTGCTTTCTTCCCTAAAAGGGGCAAGTCAGCAGCTTTGCATTTGTATGTGCTTTCTAACAGGAAGAGAACATCTGAAACCAAAATGCCAAACCTGCCATTTAAATCAATACTATTTCCTTCAAGGCACTTAGCATCATTGCCTAATAATACATTGTCTTACCTCATATATTTTTAGTGTAGTTTCTCATATGTTTAATCCTAACTTTTTAATGTGTGTTCAATAGCTGGATTGAAGAAATACTGTAAACCTGATAAGTACATCTTTAACCTGTCAGCATGCTGGCGGCCTGGAGTGCTTGTTGGTACGTCAGGGATGGAATTCTTACCCTGCAGACCAATCTGCATTTCCCAATATAAGGCTCCAACACATTCCAAATATCTTCACTATTTACTCTTTTATCTGTATTTTACATAAATCTTACTTCCTAAAAAAGGACAGGATATTTGTGCAAAATAATTAAATGTTGGAGACTTCCTTTGTAGTTGTCTATCATGATATGCCCATATACATAAACATTAATCTTTTTATTATGAATACTTTTTAAAGAAATAGAAAACTTGTAAGGACTACTAATCCATTGTATAAAATATTTAAAAGAAACTGAGAATTCCAAATAGAAGGACAGTACTTATAAGTTATAAAAATCTTGAAGAAAATGATAATTAGGAGCAGGGTTTGTTTCAAAGCACATTTTGGTTTTATAATTCATATATATTTTTTCCTGGGAGAAGCTTAAGTTCCCTCCTTAAAAGCTTAAGGCAGTGGTTCTCAACTGGAGGCAGCTGACATCGAGTGCTGAGACCAGGGATGCCACCAGCAAGCCTCCGACGGGGGCAGCCTCCCCAACACACACAGTTATCTGGCCACTCTTCTGAAAAATCAAATGTTTATAAAATTACATTACACTACAAATCTGGTAACTTGGTAATAAAATAACTAAATGAAGACCGTCTACCTCCTTGCGGTGCAGGTCCACCACCGGGCCCACCATCCGGTGCTCGTACTCGGGGAAGTCCTGCTCGATGCGGTCAGCGATGCTCTGTATCGCCAGCAGCTGTGCGTCAATTTTCCGGAGCTGAGAGCTGAGGCGCTGCAGCCGGGGATGGGGGTGCGGGCTGGGCGCGGGGCCAGGAGCGGAGGCGCCCTGCAGCAGTTCCTGCAGCAGGTAATCCCGCAGCCCGCCCCCTCCTGCAGCATCCGGCTGCGAGCTCTCTGCTTTGAATTGGAAAGCTGGCTTCGGCACGTCTGAATATTAATAAGGGTAATAAGAGAGCTGATTACAATTCAGGGAGAGGTAGATGCTGATGATCTGACCTTTTGGAAGATCTCAATTTAAGTGAACATACATCCCATTCCAAATCAGGTTTAATCACAGACTTAGAAATGCCACTTGTCTCTGTTGTGAGGTAAGAATGTGATGTGAAAGTGTTACTGTGACCACAGACTTCTACATACAAGGCAGTTTGAATGTTACTTTAAAAAAATATTTTTTTAATTGATTTCAGAGAGGAAGGGAGAGGGCTTGTGCCCTAACCAGGGATCGAACCGTGACCTCCCCGTTCCTAGGTCGATGCTCAACCAGTGAACACCACCAGCCAGGCTTGAATGTTACTTTTATCCTCTGCTACAAAAATATAATTAAAAAAGCAACTTTTCAACTCTCCTTGAAAACCAACAATATCACACAGTAAAAGCTAGACCCAACGTCGGCCATTCCTGACTCTGCGGATATCTCCGGCAGTCAACCTGCCCGACCTACCTAACTTGGAGGGCTTGTGAAGATCAAGCTATGGGGCAAAATGATCTGAAACATGTGACTTACTAAACAAATGTAACTGGTGCTCACTGTCGTTCAGTCCCGTCTGGGGGGACCTCCCATGGGGACAGGAAGGCACATCCCAGGGCTGGCGATATGGGTGGTGACGGGGTCTTTCCCCAGCAGCTTGGGCTGCACCTCTGTTACCTTCCTCAGTGCTATACCACCTGCCCTTCCCGTTTCCCAGCAGCCGGAATGTCTCCCTTCATCACTCTCGGGAAAGAATGTGGTGCATGAACTTCAAATAGAAAATACAGCAAAAAAGCCTGGCCGGCGTGGCTCAGGGGTTGAGCGTCGACCTATGAACCAGGAGGTCACGGTTCGATTCCCAGTCAGGGCACAGGCCCAGGTTGGGTGCTCGATCCCAGTGTGGGAAGAGCAGGAGGCAGCTGATCAATGATTCTCTCTCATCATTGATGTTTCTCTCTCACCCTCTCTCTGAAATCAATAAAAAGAAAATACAGCAAAAAAAAAAAAGGACATGCTCAAAGCCCTCATGGCCAACAGACCTCATGAAACAGCTTTCCTTTACCCGGAGAGCCTGCGCACCCCAGTGACGTGGGCAAGTCACCCAGGAGGGGACCTCGGCGTCCCATGGGCTGCAGGGCTCCCCAGCCCAGCCAGGCTGCTGTTGTTACCGCCGGTGTCCCTACAGGAGATGCAGCTGTTACTGGAAATAATGAGTAAGTTTCCACTAAAACAGGGATTTGCAGTTTGTTTTCCATTTTAAATGCCTAGGGCCCCGCCACTCCCTTTGCCCAGCCTTTTCCTCTAATGCAAATCCCAGGCAACTCTACGGTGTGACTGCCTACATTCTGTGTCTTTAAAGTATATTATGTAAAAACCGTGATAACATGTAATTTTAAAATGTCTTCCTTTAAACAGGCATTTTTAAGTTCTTCTCTTCGATAAGTATAGCCGGGTCCACTGACATTCTCGTGACCAGGCAGTCTCCCTGGCAGAGCATCCCCTCAAAGGTGGGCACGGGCTTGCTCCACTGGCAGAGGCCAGCAAGCTGTCGTTTGAAATGCTGCCCAAGACATTCAGTGGTCACAGGGCGACGGGTCTGGTTCCAGTTTTCAAATTTCAGAATTCAACCGATAGGAAGTGAAGGGCAACTCCAGGAGGCCCAGGGAGCCACAGGCGCTTGGCTGGATGCAGCCTCTGACCCGCGAGGGCACCCACAGACGCTCAGGGAGGCCAGATCCAGTGAATCTTGCCAGTCTCCCAGGCCGTGGCCAGGCTGGGACTGAAGCCCAGGTCTGTTCTGTCTGGATCTGAAATGCACGCTCTTTCCTGCTCCAGCCTGAAAGCCGGCAGCCTCCCACGTCCTCCTCACGCCCCACGCAGCTGGCAGCCCCGGCGGAGAGAGGCCAGAGCCTTCGGGTGTGAAATGCTGGCCCTATGTGCACTTGCGGCTGCAGACACCCGCCCTGCCACCTTCCCGCCCTGCTCCTCACAGCCCCCGAGGCCCGTGCTGACACCATGAGCAGGCAGTGCCGACTGCCCCCCGGCATCTGACAGCCCAGGAGGGGCCAGGCCTCCAACAGGTCGCTGCTGCAAGAGGTCGGGCGCATGTTTGCTCATCTGGTCCTTCACATGATGTAATGACTGGGTTTTGAAGAAATCATCTTCTTTATCTTGCAAGTATGGTACAATAATGCAACCTGATTTATGACTATAAAACTCAGTATTTTACTATGAGGTACTGTTGGCAACCAGGCCTGTGTATTCCTATGTGCTATTCTAGAATTTCCTACCTTTTTAAACATGAGAATTCCTTTTAACGCCAAAAATCTCATGAAACCCCACAGGACATTTTTTGCCAACCTCATTAATTGAGAAAAGACATCTGCAGCCTCCTTGCAAAATATCCATGGCCGAGAGCCGGACCCACATTTACCCACTGTCCCCATCTCCTGGGCAGGGGAGAGGTCGCCTGGTTCGTTTTGCAATTGCCAGGGTTCAGTGCTCGTCTCCCCCAGGGCAGGGAGCGGAAGGGGCAGCTCCTGCTGTCCTCTGGGGCGCTCACCTCTGTCCTCTCTGACTGATGATGGAGGGGAGGGGACCCCCGGCTCCTCTGCTTGGGCAGCGCCTGCTCTCCAGCTCCCCACCTCCACACAGGATGGCGACACCTCTGCAGGTGTGAGAGGTAAGTCCACCGCAGAACTGGCAGGTCCTATCAAGGAAGCAAAAGGCATAGAAGACTGATCCTAAGCTTCTAAACGCGGAATTCGGAAGATTAACATCATTTCTGAGCACGAATATAAACATCCAAGATGCAGTGGTTCCCAGGGGAGCCAGGAGACGTAAGCAGGGCGAACAATGCTGTGGGAAAACTACCTTGACTCTTCACCCTGCGCAGGGGAGCAGCGCTGGTCACGGACGCGGCCATGTGATGTAACGCCGCAGAGGACGGGCCTTCCGCCGCCCGCGGGAGGATGTCCTCATCGGAAGGCTCTCTGACAGGCACTTCCTGCAGGTCGCCAGCTTCAATGTCAATCACATTTAGGTAAGTGTGTCCAACCTGAGCCAAAGCGTAACATCCAAGGGGGTTACGTTCTTTACTCTCTATGGCCACTCTGCCCGCCCCCCTCCTGCCCTCCACCCCCATAAAAACGTTCGCTTCCGAAGGCAAGAAGGGCTCCCAGGCGCCCACCTCAGGGAAAGCTGCAGGAAGAAGTGCTATCATCTCAGTGATAATATTTAGGGGCATAATATTTAACCTACGCTTTTGACCTTTCCAGCAAAGCTTACCTTTCCAGGTAAGACTGGCAGCCTCATTTCATCTGTACAGTTGAATAATGAGGATGACCCCATACTAAAGTTTTAGCAGAAAGCTATTATGGAAACTTCTGACCAAAACCCAAACCAAATTTCATACCGTGTCCGGTGCCGAAGGTGACAAAGGCTTCTCTGCCCTTTCGGAGGGAAGCTTGAGATTCAGAAACACATCTGGGGCCAACGGCTGAGGGACAGTCAAAGGTTCACATTCTGAAAATTAAAAAAAGAAAAATCAGGAGTATAAAAAAATCAGTAATTAATCCCAAGTCGTTAGCTTTTAAGAACAAGTTATCAACAAACAACTTAACATGTATTTGTTGAAAATCTAAGTAAAAGTTTCACAGGTATAATTTACTCTAGAGCAGTGATGGTGAACCTATGACACGTGTGTCAGAGGTGACACGCGAACTCATTTTTTTGGTTGATTTTTCTTTGTTAAATGGCATTTAAATATATAAATATCAAAAATATAAGTCTTTGTTTTACTATGGTTGCAAATATCAAAAAATTTCTATATGTGACACCGCACCAGAGTTAAGTTAGGGTTTTTCAAAATGCTGACACGCCGAGCTCAAAAGGTTCGCCATCACTGCTCTAGAGTAACTCTTAACGGAGATTGACGATTGCTTTTCTCATATGAATGATTCAAAGAATAATAAATTAAGTCATGTCAAGAATATACTGTATTTTCTATTTTCCATTTCAGATCATATTAAGTCATGTTTGTTTATTTAAAAGAATTTCAATAAAATCGGATTTTAGGAAATTAACCTATCACCAATTTCTTTTTTGCTTTCAACATTGTTTATCTGTTTATTTTAATAGCTTTATTGAGGGGGACCTAATTCACAGAGTCCATAGATAAATTTTACTACTTAAGATGTTTAACACCTAAATTTTATAAAACTCATTTAACTTCTTATTCAAAAGTAAAATAAAGAAACCTGTCACAATAGATCAGCAGACAATCTAAGATAGGAAGTGAAAATACTTAAATTACCATCTGTCTCTATTAGATCCATGGATTGGTGTGGATGCTTTTTCATGGCGGGGTGGGGGGACGGGACTCCTGTTTTGACATCATGCAAACGTAATATTTAATAGTCATGCTTTCTCAAAAAATTTTTTTAAAAAGGGAGAAATCACACCTGATGTGGAGGAGATGGCTTGTTGATTTTTCTGACATTCAGAAACCACTTGAGAAGCAGCTTCTTTATCTTTTAGTCAATTAGGAGATTTGAGGCAAAAGGAGAAATAGCAAAAGAAAAAGGATTTCACAAACACAGGAAAAATTAAATACATAAATGCAGATTTTTAGACTATTGGGTATAAAAGATAGTAGAAAAGTAGACTGACAGCTTAAGTTTTTAAAAATTAATGATAACTTCGTATTTTATTATTATTTATATCCTGGGCCTCATTACCTGGCAAACAGGCTGCAGACTTTAGATTACCCAGCAAAGAACACCCAAGCACTATCTCATTTAAGAATGTCTCACAGATGACCAACAGATATATGAAAAGATGCTTAAGGTCATTAATCCTCAGAGATGCAAATTAAAACCACAAAAAGCTATCACATCAAGCCTGTCAGAATTGCTATCATCAATAAATTAACAAATATAGCATGCTGGTGAGGATGTGGAGAAAAGGGAGCCCTCATGCACTGCTGATGGGAATGCAGACTGGTGTAACCACTGTGGAAAACAGTATGAAGATTCCTCAAAAATTAAAAATGGAACGGCCTTAATGACCCAGCAATTCCACTTCTGGGGATATATTCAAGGAAACACGAACTACTAAATTCAAAAGAATATATGCACCCCTATGTTCATTGCAGCAGTATTTACAATAGCCAAGATCCGGAAGCACATAAGTGCCTATCAGTAGATAAGTGGATAAAAAAACAACAACCGTGTAGTACATTTAAACAATGGAATGTTATTTGGTCATAAAAAAAGAACAAAATTTTACCATTTGCAACAGCATGAATAGACATAGAGGGTATTATGCTAAATGAATTAAGTCATTCAGAAAAAGACAAATACCATATGATTTCACTTATATGTGGAATCTAAAGGACAATATAAACAAATAAGCAAAACAGAAACAGACTCATAGATGCAGAAAACAGCCTGGGTGTCAGAGGGAAGAGGGGTGGGGACTGGGTGAACAGTGAAAGGATTGAGAAGGACAGATTGGTAGTTACAAACTAGTCACGGGGAGGTGAAGTCCCACAGAGGGAATCCGGTCAGTAATATTGTAATCACTATGTATGGGCCAGGCGGGTACTGGAAATGGCAGGGGGAACACTTTGTGCAGCATCTGATTGTCTAAACACTATGCTGTACACCTGAAACTAATGCAAAATATTGACTGTAAACAGTAATTGGGGGAAAAAATTTTTTTAAAGGGATATCTCAAATCCGCACTAAAAAACATCTTATACATGCTCAATCTCATTCAGAAAGAAGCAAAAATGTAAAAAGTGAAATGCCTTTCTTTGACCTTTCAAACTGGTAAAGATAAAAGAGCTAAATCACAGAAATGACAAAAAAAAAAAGGCTCTTATGCAAAATATCTCATTGAAGCCTTATTTTTGGAAGAAAAATACTAGAAACCACTAATGTACTTGACATTAAGGAATTACATATTTATGGCACAAATGGAAAATGTTGTCCCAGCCCATCCAATACAGCTACATGTCATTAAACAACCCTTAAACACCTGAATATCTATCCATCCAGCATTACTAAATAATACACATGTTAAACCCCACTTAATTAACACTCATTTAACCCATTAATTCATGTGCAATTCGCAATGATACGGAACACAGCAGATACGAATCACCTTCAACACCGCAGCAAACATGTCCCATACTGTAAGTGAATAATGAAATAATAACGTGAAGACACTCTAACTGGAGAGTCTGCCCCCAGGGACCGGGGAAAAACAAACACTGGAGCCACGAAGGTTAAACTCTTAGGGAGCAGAGCAATGCCCCCTGACGTGTGTGTGCCGACGGCCGGGGCGCACAGCTGTGCTATGCATGTCTGATGGCCAGGGAGCACAGCTGTACTCTGCATGTCTAACTGTAAAATGCACAAAAGACAATGGAAAGAAAAAAACACCAAAACATTACTTCCGAATGTGCCGTCATAGTTCATTTCATCTTCTTCACAACTTGCTTTATTATCCATTCTACAATTATCATCAATTACTTGGAACCCATACCAATAAGTATTTCACAATAGTATAAAGCAGCCGTGGGCAAACTATGGCTCATTTGAAATGAATAAAACTAAAAAAAAAAAAAAAAAAAGACCGTACCCTTTTATGTAATGATGTTTACTTTGAATTTATATTAGTTCACACAAACACTCCATCCATGCTTTTGTTCCAGCCCTCCGGTCCAGTTTAAGAACCATTGTGGCCCTCGAGTCAAAAAGTTTGCCCACCCCTGGTATAAAGTCAGAGGTTTGAAAAGGCCCCACGAGGTTCCATACAGTTAAGAGAAACTGCTTCCCGAATATCCTATAAAAGAATCACTCCAAGGCCAAGGGCAGAGAACTCACATTTACGAGGGAGTCTGTTGGGCACTACTCCTCCACCGCTGTTTCCCTCTCCGGGGGCAGAGCTGCGTCACCCTCCCCACAGCACAGGCAACCCGGTCCCTCTAACTCACCTTTTCCAGCCACACCCCGGCCTCCCAGCCTCAAGCTCGACTTGCCAGAGTTCAACATTCTGTCCATGGAGCTGGGGTGCAGCCCAAGGCATCTCTGAACAAACATCTCTAATATGCTTTAAGTTATCACAAATTCAATTGGAAATTTGATTTTAAGTTTCAAATGCGTAAAGCATGTATCAGGGTTGGGGACAAGAACCTGGGATGGCTGACTAACACCACATAATTTAAAATTCCCCAAAAAAGTCTAAATATATTAAATGTTGCAAAATATAGGAATGTTTTAAGTTAAAGTAACGTAGCGTGTTACCTGGGTCTGTGTTTGTACTTGCATCCTGACATTCCACAGCTTTCTTTCTGACAGAGGCCAGGAAATGCAGCCCAGCGGAGGTAGTGACGTCATCGTGTAGCGTTTCTTAAATGTAACAACAAACATTGGAAACCACTGAGGAGGAGCCAACAGATTACAGGAGCCCAGAGGCGGAGGAGCTAACGCAAGGGAGGGGGGTCTGGGGTGTCGAGATGTTACCAAAGGGGACTTTCTGAATGAGGTGGCATCTGACCCAGAGGCCGCTCAGTGGCATCAAAACCAAAATCGTGGGGACTCTGCACGCCCGGCCTCGGCCGGAGGCATTGTTCTGGCTGAGGAGCAGCGTGATTGTTAAGCAGGGACTGATATGGTCAGACCGATGTTCTGGAAAAAGCAGCCGGCCAATGTGTGGAGCACGGATTTGAGTGGAAAAACTGAAGAAAGGCACCCGGATGAGGCTGCTGCAGTGCAAGCGAGACAGTAATGGTGGGGACGGGCAGAGACGCCGGCGGAGGAATGACCAGGGCGGGAGACGGGCACGGCTGTGAGTGCCCAGGAGGGAGGGGCAGGCCGACCTCAGAAGGACCTGTGTTTGGGGTTCGCTGGTAGTAACACCAACAAAGAGAACAAGCCAGCAGGTGTGTGACTGTAATGCTGTGCCCGAGGCAGTTCAGTTCCCACCCACGTGGAAAGGTGCGGCGGGAGGTGGGATCGAAGTCCGCAGTCTGTTAGGGGGTTTGGGTGTAGACTGGGTTTTCCTGAGCTCACCCAGGAGTCTAGCAGAATAAGAGAGTATCAGCTATGCTGTGTTGTAATAACTACTCGGTTCCCAGCACAGAGCTCCCCACACCCTCAGAACGTCCCGAGTGCGGGGCGCCTTTCATCACTCACGAGCCCCCGGTCAGACCCGAGTTTATGCCAAGGCAGCGGCTCCCGGCGGCCCCTGGAGAGCTCCAGGCCGGGACTGGCCAGAGGAACCAACCACAAGATCAGGGGGTTGGGACTTGAGCCCACCCCACCCCGCCCCAGGGAGATGGAGTCGAGCACCAATGGCCTGTGCCTATCAGTCAGGACTACGGAATGAAACAACAGCTATGGGCCTCTGGGGTGATGAGCAGGGGGATGTGCTGGGCGGGCGGCGCCCCAGAGAGGGGCTCCCTGAGGAGAAGCCTTGGGGATACACACATTCGGCTGCAAGAAGAAACGGACCAGCTGAAGAAAGAAAACCATTTACTATCCATAAGCAAGTTCTCTTTCCTGAACTGAGGCCTTTACATTAAAGTGCATGTGTTTTCTGTGATGAAGCTGACCCCGGCACGCTCTTCCATAATTTCCTGTTGGGCCTTAAATATCAGTGTGTTATTGGAGCTTCTAACTAATTGCATTGCTCCACTGTAGCAGTTGGCAAACTTGCTCTGTAAAGGGCTGGAGAGTATATGCTTTGTGAACCACAAGGTCCCTTTCTGCAACGCTGGGCCTGCTGCAGCGCAAAAGCCGCCACAGACAACGTGCAATATGTGGACAGGGCTGCGTTTCAGGGAAACCGATTCCAGAAACAGGCGTGGTCTGCACCTGGCTTGGGGCCCTAGTCTGTCAGGAGCGCTCTATTGGATAACACACACACACACCACCGTGTCAGATCACATGGGAAGAATTTAGCCTCATTTTTATAGAAACATCTATAACTGAACTCAGACACCACACTCATCAGGCATATACATACCTAGAGGAATTTCGAAGGCATCCAACGTCTGGGAACCACGATGCTCTCGCTGCTCCTAAACGAATCCCAAATGATCAACCTAAGATTAACTCGATGACATTTATTATTTTGAAAAATATATATCATAGCTCTGAGAATGGTTAAGTCTTAGGAATAGGTTCAAATCCCTTAATTCTAGAAATATTTACTCTATCAAATTATTTACTCCATCAGTGTAACCCTACGAAGGAGTTTCCGAAAGTCCCAAGCCAGGCAATAAAGAAAGAGCGTCACCGGCTTCATGACTAACTACAGCCTGCATTCTCTCCTGCAGCGAGTCTTAGCTCACCGTACCCCCTGGGAACCCCCTCGGGGCAGAATTGTTCATGGGCCCACTAATGAGGACTTCATGAGAAGTGTGCGCCTTGTAAACAAAGCTGTTCCATTTAACCTGTTGTTGCAAAACTAGGTAAACAGGTCCCGGCTTAGGAGTGTCGGAAGAGATCCGAGTTCCAACACAGGTTGCATAGTAAACGTGTATGGGACCTTTTAGAGGCACCTAAGGAGAGAGATGAAACTGAAGTAGGAGAAACCCAAGTCACACCCAATGCATCACGGTGTCGCAGGAAAAAGCAGAGTGACTTCAAGGTAAGAAGGCCACAGGCACATGCTCTAAGCCGCAGCCTTGGACTGGCCATCGAGCTGCTTCCACCTCACACTGTGCCCTGCTCCCGGAGGCCTGGGTGCTTGATCCGAGTCTGCAGGTCACAATCGGTGCTCCAGCCTGGCCAGGTGCTCCCCTACCCCCCCTGACTCTGCGAGGCCGGGGAGAAGGGGCAGGTGTAGGTACCTCGGCTCTCCCAGCTGCCCCTGAGTCATGATCAGGAAGGAGGGCAGCGCCTGGGTGCACGGTCACACTAGGTTTTCTCCTTTGCTGCTCGGAGCTGTTTTCTTGCAGCTCTTTCTCAGCTCGTCGTCTTTGCCTGTGAAAGACAACAGTGTGAAATCTATGCCTACTGTTTCAGTAACACCAACCAGTGTTTCATTCGTGTCATGCTACCCAGGGAGACAGTTATGGAAACTATGTCCATAAATTATTTTCAATGGCATTTAATTAAATTAGCAAGATATTCTGCTACAATAAAAGCAGATACCAGCCGAAGTCGGGGACACATGACGTTGTTCCCAGCTCCTCTGCTAGGGGCTGACTGTCTGGGTAACCACAGGGGTCTCAGGCCAGGATGACACCCGGTAGGGATGTTCAAGCTCCCTTTCCTTCGGTTCTAAGCTGGCCCAGGAGCCTCCGGACACCTCCATTGAAGGAGGCCTACTCGGAAGACAGAAACCTGGACAAGGTAGAGGAAGGACCCATTTCTGGAAAGAAAGCACTGATAACAGAAGGTAGGGCCATAAATGTAAACATTTCAGAGTGTTTTCTAACTAAGTAATAATCTGCTGGTCAGGACACGTATTGAGCACAACACTGGAGAGGCCCTTCAGCACGGGTCACAGCCCTCCTGCTACAGGCACACGTCTCAGCCTGACGCCAGCCTGTCACTCAGCCTCCCACTCCTAGATGAGGGAGTGGAGGGCGCGGTCGACGGGGAAAGGCCCATTTGGTTCCGGGTGCTGAGAGGACAGGGAATGCTGCAGAGCGGGCGGCTCCCCTGCCACAGGAAAGGAGCCCCCCGCTGTGAGCGCCAGGAGAGAACTGCCTACTAAAATGGAAAAAAGAACAGCCTTTGTCTCCAGCCCTGGCCGTGTGGCTCAGTGGACTGGGCATTGTCCCGGGCACCCAAAGGCTGCTGGCTCGATTCCTGGTCAGGTTTTGGGCTCGAACCCCTGTAGGCGTGTGCAGGAGGCAGCCAATCGACCCAGGTTTTGCTCTCACATCAATGTTTCTCTCTCTCCCTCTCTCTGAAAATCATTTAAAAACATCTTTAAAAAATAAAAGTATCTGTCTCTCACACACAGGGATTTTCCTCGTCCTCAGGTGTGTTCCAATGCAGGACACCGACAGGGAAACGGAACACGCAATTGTGTTTGGTAGGAGGCTGAGCCAGCTGACTCACAGTTTATAACCATGTGACGTAACGGAAGGGGTCACTTAAACCTTGCCTTTTCTTGCCGCCCTTTCCTGGCCTCACTTCAGGAGGGTCCCCTTTGTCCTTTCCAAGCTGCAGGTGCCCAGGATCGCCTTGTTCCAGGAAGTCGGGGTGTGGTCTCTGTTGGCTTTGCTTAGACGCAATGAGGTTTCCAATCAGAGTAAGCTGAGGGGTTCTGTACTATAAAGAAAGAGATAAAGCATATTAATGTACAATTACATACTTCAATTATGCAATATGCTAATAAAATACTGGGAAAAACATTTGTTTAAATCAAACTAAGATGTGCAAGAGGTGAAACATGACAAAGATGACACGCTGACTTGGACGGGTAAGATGAAGATCCTGATCTTAAAGAGTAAATGACAGTGGCGTGCTGAGAATTTCAACTGGGTTGCCCTATTCCAAGTTAAGCTACAGTCCTCATCTTCATTTCTTTTCCGTATTAAAAATCTTCCTTTTTGCCGTAACCGGTTTGACTCAGTGGATAGAGCGTTGGCCTGCGGACTGAAGGGTCCCAGGTTCGATTCCGGTCAAGGGCATGTACCTTGGCTGCGGGCACATCCCCAGTGGGGGGTGTGCAGGAGGCAGCTGATCAATGTTTCTGACTCTCTATCCCTCTCCCTTCCTCTCTGTAAAAAAATCAATAAAACATATTTTTTAAAAAATCTTCCTCTTATAAATGAAATTACATGTCTAGCATTTGATTTTAAATTCTTCGAATAGGGAGGATGCACAAGGGTGGAGAGTGTGAATGAACAGACGAGCACACAGCAGCATGTGGATAACCACCAATGCTGAGGACATTATTCTCTCTAATAAAGAAGCCTTTAAATCCTTCTCAAAACGTCCACTTTCCTACCTTTGAAGCCTTTTTTTTCCTGTTCATAACATGTTCAGAAGAAAGGAAGGCATGGTAAGTACTTTTTCTAAGGAAATGACCATTTCTTCTCCTAGTACTATCTTCAAACCTTTAAAATCAATGTATTGGAGTGACATTGGTTAACAAAACTATACAGGCTTCAAGTGGAAGGCATGGTAAGTACTTTTTCTAAGGAAATGACCACTTCTTCTCCTAGTACCATCTTCAAACCTGTTTAATTCAATGTATTGGAGTGACATTGGTTAACAAAATTATACAGGCTTCAAGCGTACAATTCCGTAACGCATCATCTGTATGTTGTAGCGTGTTCACCTCCCCAAGTCAAGCCTCCTTCCACCACCATTTATCCCCCTTTACCCTCGGCTACCGCCCCTTCCCCTTTTTCTCCTCTGCAAATCCTAAAAGTGCGCTAGAAAATGAATTCCTCAGTCACCCTCCTAGGATGGTACTACGGACTTACAAAATGAGAACCTGACCAATGTGAATTTCATCAATAAGAAGCTTTGGTGGCCTTATTAAGATTCAATCTTCTGTTTCAAGTACTTTAAGAAGACACCATTTTTTAATATGTGCAACTACTTATAGACCTGGGTCCATTTAACAATTTTAACCTGTAAAGATTTGGAGGCAATCATATCACAACTGCTAGGAGCCTTGAATAACGCTCCCCCTTCTCCCCCTTCTCTCTCTCTCTCTCTCTCTCTCTCTCTCCATACACACACGCACAAATATACTGGGCATTTTACTTTACTACTTATTTCTTCTGAGAATAGAAGAAACGTGTGTGAAAGCATTCAGCAAATTCTGGTATTGATGTACAAGAAAGACCTAAACCTTTAAAATACCCAAATTATTCTGAACTGCACTTGAATGTGATCGTCAGTAACAGGAGCATTGTTCTTACGAAGGAACAGTGTAAAGGCTCCTCCGGAGAGCGCAGTGGTTACGGTGTAGAGGACACAGGCTGCGCCGCTGCGTCCCCGGCCAGATAATTACCGTGTTTTCCTGCGACGGGCAGGCGCGGAGGAAGGAAAACCCTGGGTGCGTCCTTGCTCCCGCGGCGGCTCTGACAGGTGCGGAGGGAACCGCCACCGGAGCTCTTGAGATGGAGAAAAACGTAAAAGCAGGTTTGGGCTGCAGGTGCAGTAACGGGAATCCGAAGGCATAACGAGGAGATGACTCAAGGGGCCCCGGCTTAACGTCAAACACTCCTCCTGGCTTTGTAGCTGCCGAAGAGTCCTGCTGAGGTGTCACGCTTTCCTGTCCAACGTACTGGTCCAAGTTCAAGTGCTTCGGGATGTCTGTCCTGCCAGCCCCCGCCCCTGTCTTCTGCTCCGCTGCCGGCCGCTTCTCGGGGGCGCAGGGGGCTGGCGGGAACTGGGGGGCCCCCAGGCCTCTCTGGGCGGCGGCAGACATCTGGGGGGAACCCGCAGAGCCCTTTCTGCCGGGAAGGCAAAGGGCTTAAGTCCCTGCTCAGGCTGTAGCTGGAGCAGAGGAAAAGCATCGCCCGGTCTGAAGGCGGTGGCAGCGGGAAGCGTAGGTGCCTTCGGGAGGGCAGAAGGCAGGGACACGAGGTGGAGGGGAGCATTCCCCGCAGGGCCCAGGGGACACGAAGCCCGCGGCAAGCTTTCAGGGGCTGCGGACAGTCCGCTGTTCCGAGGCTGGCCTTCTAATTGACAAGGAATACGCCCGTGTGGAACATTCTGGAAGAGAAAAAAGCTATTACGTAAGTTGAAAATATGTAACAAACTCCTTATTTGGTAAATGCTGTTCAATACGCTTTGGAGGGGTTGGGATGTAATAATTGCCAAAAAGGCTATTTACTCCAGGAACAAAAAACCACCCAACTTCGGGGGCGCCTGCCATGAGGCTGCAG